AAACGTGATTGCCACATGCTAAGCAGTGTGAGAATTGTGGAGATTGGCGATTTGATTGCGGTCTGTTATGGAGTATTGAATTGCAAACTGATGCAATGGGTTTGCGGAATACGAGATGCAAAGCTACCGATGTGTGTGTCAGTTTAAGTACCTATGTACGTGTGTTTTCATTATTGTAATTCGAGCGCCAATTCCAATTGTCGCGCGTAATGAACTTTGGAGCATGAAAAATCGCAAAAAATATTTGTGAGTATTCGTATATGCTTACAGTGGTAGACAGAAAGATCGAATGTGAATCAAATATATAAATTGCTTCAAATAGGAAATAAATAAAAAAATAATCTGACAGTCAAAAAAAATATGAAGACACCTTTAATGGGAACTTCAGCATTAGTTTGGGAGCGAGCATGCTAAGTAAAGTGTCTGATCGTTACAGATTTGCCGAGCATCAGTATGATTTTTACCTCCACCTTGTGCAAAATGCTTGGCCCCGTGTTGGCGACGACTATAATATGCGCACAAACGACGAGCTGTATGAGCGGAACCACGACTTTAACATTGTCCAGCGAATAAACATCTAGCTGCTGCATTGACTTGGTCATGTTCTGTGAGTAGATAATGACGCTACAGGGAAAAAGATTCTTAATGAGAGAGTTGGTGTTAAAGACGTACAGACAGTCTTCCGGTGGAGTAATCAAATAAAAGAAGCAGCGACAAAACTTGGAGTATGGAGGCTGGAGTAGGTGTACGCGTAGCAGAGGCACCTAGAAGGCAATATTAATTACGTCAGGCTTAAATCCAAAAGGGTTGCTGGGCTAATTAAAGAAAGAAGAATAAAAAGATCTAGCGTTTAGACGTTTCGACCAGCGGAGCGATTAAAGAAAAGCACGGTATTCTGCTAAAACCACACAACTGTCAATACGTTTTGTCAATATGTCCAGCGAAAAAGAGATAGCTGGACTATATAGAAGAACCCGACAAATTCACGACACTTCGATAAGATAAGAAACTTATCTATTATTAGAATACTAATATAGAAGAAACAATGCAATAAATCAAAATTATTAGAAAACTATTGAAGTATGATCCGGAAGAGTTATGATTTATAATATAGTGTTCGCAATTATGTTACACGTAAAATATCCCACTTCCTGGCATGATAAAATTCATTAGCTATTCCGAGTGGCCTTAAAATTAGAACGGTCTTCATTGATAATACCACACAAAAGCGTGGAAAGCAAATCGAAATAAAAAATTAAGAGAAAATTTAATAAAATACCGAATATAAAGCACTTGTAGATGAGACTGCAAATATTCGTTTTTTTTTTTAGATGTCAACCCGTCATACAATAGAGGTAACTTGAAGCCTACCGCAAGCAAAAATATTTACTATCAATTATGATGATGCTAACACGATTAACAAGTTTGTAGTGACGTTTTACACTGAATTATTGTTTTATTTGCTAGTTTTCGCATTTAAAGTTTTGAATAGTTGTTTTATTTTCGAAAACACATGCGAATGTTTATGCCAAGCGAATTTCGCTGTTGAGCAAAGTACATAGCAGTGTAATCAAGGCTTGTTTGGAAAACAAAATTTATAACTTGCTTTTATTTCGCACGTTTGTTGCTGATTAGCCGCGTAATCACATAATTTCTATGCATGCGAATTAGGCGCAAACAACACGAACACCACACCCACTCTCACACGGCGGTGACACTTGCAGTTTTTCTTCATACATACGTATTTTTGACAGAGCTTGCTGCCAGTAGTAAAGTTATGATTTAGTGTGAGCATGCTAATAAATGCTGGGGAAAAGAGTTGGGCGGAAGTGTACGCCCACTTCCGTTTTGTGTCGAGCCAGTGAGCGTGTGCGTGCTCGTGCGCCACGAAGCTGCAACGCAATGGCATTTTCATTTCACGCATAGCTCAAATGACAGCAAAGACAGGCAACCTTTAAAAGGTAGAGCTCATACGGAAAACATGCTCCCATAAAGGTAATGCAATGTCAACGCTTTTCCTTCCTTTTCTGCTGCTCATAGCTTGGTAGTAAGGCGGGTGATCGCTTAGCCTGTTAAAGCACATAGCAACCGCGCTGCACTGTAGCATGTTGCACGTGTTGCATGCTGGCAAGCCATGAGTCACGTGCCGGACACGTGTCACACGATAAGAGTAGTGCAACATCGACGCTGCACCAAAGCGGTGGCATGTGAAACAGTACGCCAACATGCTATAGAGATTAGCGACATGTCATCTGCATCAATTCCTTGACATGAATGGGCGGACTGCTATGATTATGCGGAAATAGTGTGCTTGCTTGCGACACCCGTTCACCGCATTTGTTATCGAAATTTCACAATCACAGGCAAGCACTCGCTGCTCAAACACTCCCTGTGGACTTGCAATCTACGGTTGCCTCACAATTTGGGTAAAGTACTTTCACTGCAACAACATCTTCATTTATCTAACTGTAAACCCACAACAAGAACGTAACTAGAACAATCACCAGCCCAAAGGCGAGTGCCACGCGTCACTCACTTGCAGTTATGTTGCGAACAACGGTAAAGTGCCTTCGCACCTTCAGTTCATCACTCAATCAGTTGCACTGATTTATGCTTTTGTTAAATAATAAGCGGCGCACTCGGCACTCAATTACATAAATATTGATTACAGCTGTTCTTCTTCTGTTATCCAATACTCTACTCTGCTATTTGCTTTGAAAGCCAATAATTATGGTATTAGGTACAAAGACACATGGATTGGAAACATTATATGTACTTGAGGTGGAGTGATGAGTAGGGTATAGGCGGGTAATATGAAATTAAGAATTAATATAGGAAGACAGTTTAATGATAGCTTTTGAATTATACTACAATTCTACTCGTGAAATGCATTTGAATTAGAACAAGGCTACATGGTCACTAAGGGGTTATATTTAAGTGCCCATATTTTTCCCGGCAAAATCCGGGACGATTTTTTCGAATCATTGATTTTTTCCATATTATATTTTACAAAATTTTGTTTTCATAATTTTTAAGTCCAGGCAAACCGGGACGAATGGTCAGCTAAGGTTTATACCCTTTGGAAATTTCAAAAATCGATTGTGGTTTCATATACCTATGTATACCGAATATAAATGTATTGCAAAATAATTTCCGTAAATTTAAGGGTGATTAAGCAAATAATTTCGGAGATATGAGCGTATTTATACGAATTTTTTACTTAGTTTAATCGGCTCTCAAAACTTGAAACGCGTTTTTCTCGAAACCCTTGTTTTCAGAATCCGTGTGAAAATTTTCTCCGAAACGGTTGTAGCGATCAACTTAAATTTTTTACACAATCTTTTTAGTTATATTTATCAAGTGATGATAATAAATTCGATTTTCTAAGCCACTCTGAAAGGTAAATTTTTTCGAAAAAAATACGAATTTTTTGGGAATCCGCCATTTGGTCAAAAATCAAAAATTGTGACTAGTCCTTCGAAATTTTGATTTTAGGACAATTTTAATAGAAATATATACCTCACCTCCAGACATCTTTTTCCTCAGGCTACAGAACCAAGGGAATCTAATATTTTTCAAAATGAACCACCAAATATTAAATTACATTAAATTTTGCAATTTTTTTTAAATTTTCTTTTTCGTTGCTTTTAAAACTCTCAGGTCAAACTTCTCAGACTGTCAAAAATAAGTTTCCATGCTATACTTGTATTTCTAAAAAATTGAGTGAACAGTAGTATTAAATAAGTGTCAACGCTTATCAAAACGTATGTATCAGTTTCGTTCATAATAACAATAACTGGATTTTGAAAATTACCGCACGCCAAAATTTTATTGTTTATTTTTTATAATCTACTTATATATACTTCGAACTTCCGACCAGTTGCTGCATTGCTGGGATCAACATAATTCGAGGTCATAAACTAATTTTCTCAGTGGACACAGCGCTGCTAATACTTAATGCTTTTTATAGCTAAGCGTTGAAAACAATTAACTTACATATCACTATAGTATTGTATTTAAGGGGTTAGGGGTAGTCAGAGGCACGAAAAAATGTGATTTTTCAGCAATTTTTTTTTTTGCTATTAAATCATGTTATATTACAAAAGTAGTAATATGGCATTATTATACATGTTTTGACTTGAAGTCACGAAAATTTAAAAAAAAAAAAATTATTTCCAAAGTTATAGCTGTCTGTGTTGAACCAGTTCCAAAAAAAGGTCCTTGCGGTGACAATCATAAATCCTTGGATATTCATATAAATGCAATCGGATAGAAAAAATTCGTTTTCTAAATAGATTAGCCTGGGCCTGATCGAAGCTTTTGTTGTTTTTTCAAAAAATTACAAAATGACGGCCTCAGAAATTTTTTTCTAGATTTTTGGTCTTAAAAAATCGAAATTTTTGAAATAAAAAATCCTTCGATCAGGCCCAAGTTTACTATGTATTCTAAAACCTGTATAAATTTCATTAAAATCTACTAAGCGATTTTCGAGTTACAGTTGTCACCAGTTCATAAAACATAGTTTTGAGAAAAAAAAGAAAGTTTCACACGAGAGCTCCCGAGCGCTATTTGTTATTTGTCGAATAACTCAAAAAGTAATTATCGGATCAACTTGAAATTTTTTCAAGATATTACACTTAACGAAAATGCAAATTTTTTTTTGAAAATTCTGACTACCCCTAATCTTTTAAATTGCAACGTACCACTCCTAAACGACTTCCAACAGTACACTACATTACCGATATTATTATTTAAGTGCGCTGAAATATCGACACTTTGCAACCACGAATATGAAGAGACCGGAAAAAGTATAACGCGGTTTCCGGTTTTAAGCTACTACAATTTTTATTTAATCATCATATGTGTATATTTGTAAAAATTATTAAATTTTCTCATATTTATTTATGTATATGCACCTATTTTGTTAATGCCGACATTAAAATTCAAACGCACATTTTTAAAACAATGGTAAATTTGCAAATATAGCTTTTGCGAAAACTAGAAATTCTATTACGTTTCATTTGTATTAACAGAGAATGTAAAATAATCTACATTCTCTGCTGCTGCTACATTTACCGGTTTGACATTTCTATGACATTTCTACTTTTTTTCTTGCACATGTGTTTTCGTATTTAAATTGTGCTTGGTTGGTGCTTAAAATTAATTACTATTTTCAATTTAATAAATCACAATGTCGTCTTGGAAAAAAGCTTCCAAGAGCAACCAAAAGGTGCATCGAGAGCGTCATCAGCCAGAAGCACGCAAACATCTTGGTTTGCTTGAAAAGAAAAAGGATTACAAGAAACGAGCCAATAATGAGCATTACAAGGAACGCACATTGAAGTTGCTGCACAAACGCGCGCTGAATAAGAATCCCGATGAATTCTACCATCACATGATTAATTCAAAGCTTGAAGACGGTGTACATCATGAAAAAGAGCAAGAACCGGATGAACACAGCAAGGTGCAAAAAGCGCTGATGGAGACACAAGATACACAATATGTGACTATGAAACGTACCATGGAAACGAAAAAAATTCAGCGACTCCAATCACAACTGCATATGATTGATTTTGCTAATACAGTGGCGAATAAGCACACCTTCTTTGAGGAGAACAAGGAGGGTGAGATTGTCGCAAAGGACTTGAGCAAAATGGAATTAGCACAACGCCTTGAGACACATCCAAGTTTACTAGAACGCAAAACGAATCGTCCACGCATACAAGACTTGGACAAAATGAAATTGCCGGAGCTGACTCCACAGGTTAGTAAACAAAAAAGGAGCACTTAAAGTCCACAGTCTTATAATTGTTAGTGTTTTACAGGAAATACGAAAGGCCAATGCATTGAAGAAGCAGTCATACCAGGAGCTCACCAAACGTATTGAGCGAGAAAAGGAATTAGCAGTGGCACAGCAGAAGCTGCAAATACAGCGTGTACTGAAACAGGCCCGTTTGCTGAAACCTAAAAAAGTTAGGAAAGGTACTAAAGATGCGCCACCAGTGTATCGCTTTAAATACGAACGCAAAAAATAATTTTATATAAGTAGTTCCTGCAATGTTATGTATAAAAATTAATATATTTTGTATTAAATAAACTCTTATTTGTATAATGCGATGGGTAAATGGAAATCAGCTGTTTCTTATATATCATATAGTGATGCCGTATAATTGTTAGGTATATTATAGCAAAATCTGGTAGTTCCTTATCGCTGATCAAAACAATGAATGCGGTAAACACTCGAATCAAAACAAACTACGTAGACTGTCAAAATTCAAGACAACGCACGTGTGTTCGTTGCTTTTATTTTATTGTTAAAAATTATATATTTTCAATTATATTTTATTGCATTTTAAAACTAAACTAAACGAAATGGTGAAAAAGAAGATTGATAATCGCATACGCGTAATGATCGAAAATGGCGTAAAGTTGGGCCATCGTACAATGTTTATTATAATCGGGGATAAGGGACGTGATCAAGTGCCAATACTCTACGATATTTTGACAAAATCCACAGTGAAAGCTCGCGCCACAGTGCTATGGTGCTATAAAAATAAAGATGAAGCTATATCTAAGTAAGTTTCTAAATAATACATTTATATTTGAAAGCAATATTCATAGTTTTCTATTTAGCCATGGACGTAAGCGCGCTAAAAAGATTGCGGCCGGCAAAATTGATGTCAACGATGCGGATATGTTCGACACATTTCGTGTGTCCACAACAATACATGGACGCTACTACTCGGAAACACATGCAGTGCTGGGTCGCACTTATGGCGTATGTGTATTACAGGATTTTGAAGCGCTCACACCCAATTTGCTAGCACGCACAGTGGAAACAGTTGAAGGCGGCGGTTTGATAATATTATTGCTGAAAACGTTGCAATCGCTGAAACAGTTGTACACAATGAGCATGGATGTGCATAAACGTTTTCGTACCGAAGCACATCAAACTGTCACGTGTCGTTTCAATGAACGCTTGATACTCTCCTTAGCTGATTGTAAACGCTGTCTGGTGGTAAACGATGACTTAACAGTGCTACCGTTGAGTTCAAAAACAATTAACGTGGATCCCGTTAATGTAATTTCATCAACATTGTGTTTGGTTATTTCCTTTTATTAACTTAAAATATTTTAATTATAGCCTGCTGACGTGGGCAAATCTGAAAATACTGAAATGCTGCAAGACTTAAAGGAAAGTTTACGTGATACTCCACCCGCTGGACCGCTAGTGAATCAATGTCGAACATATGACCAGGCGCGTGCTGTAGCACAGTTCATCGAAGCATTAGCCGAGAAGCAATTAAAGTATGTTTATTTACCCAAACTATCTGTTGTAATATATTAATTTATATGATTTCCTCAGACCACCCACTACTTTGACTGCCGCAAGAGGTCGCGGTAAGTCCGCTGCTATGGGTCTATCTATTGCCGCGGCAATTGCATTCGGTTATGTCAACGTCTATGTCACTTCACCACATCCGGAGAATTTGATTACACTGTTTGAGTTTGTGCTGAAAGGATTTGATGCACTGGAATATCAAGAGCACGCAGATTACACCATTATACGCTCCACAAATCCAGATTACAAAAAAGCGATTATTCGCATTAATATTACCCGTTCCAATCGGCAGACTATACAATATATTGCACCCAACGATACACATCTCTTAAATGCGGCCGATTTATTGGTGATTGACGAAGCTGCAGCCATACCTCTGCCTTTGGTAAAAAAGATGATGGGTCCCTATTTAATATTCATGGCATCAACCATTAACGGTTATGAGGGCACGGGACGGTCGCTCAGCTTAAAATTGATGTCGCAATTGCAAAAGGATAACAATGCACCGCCACCGGTGCGTCTAACCTAAAAAACGACTACAGCGCAAAATAAAATTCTTTATAAATTTTTCAGATTAAACTCGACGAATCTATTCGTTACAGCGAGGGCGATGATATCGAAGCATGGTTGATAAATTTGCTATGTCTAGATGCCACGACAGTGCCCCACATCAGTTCGGGTTGTCCCACACCGGATGTGTGCGATCTCTATTACATCGATCGCGATGCGCTATTCTCATATCATAAAGCAGCCGAATCGTTTCTGCATCGTCTTGTGTCCATCTATGTAGCTTCACATTATAAGAACAGTCCGAATGATCTACAAATGATGAGTGATGCGCCGGCGCATCATCTTTTCTGTCTACTCGGACCTATTCAACGCAAGGATCAGCTACCTGAAATACTGGTTGTGGTGCAAGTTGCATTGGAGGGTGAGATTTCGTCGCAAACCATAACCGATTCCTTGGGACGCGGTAAGAAGGCTAGCGGCGATCTGATACCCTGGAATGTTTCGGAACAATTCGGTGATCGAGATTTTCCCAAATTATCCGGTGTACGTGTAGTCCGCATTGCTACACATCCCAACTATCAAAGGGTAAACAGTTCAATAATTTAGTAGAAACTTAAATTTTTAAAGTTTTTCTTTTTGTTTTTTTTTTGGAATTAAACAGATGGGCTATGGCAAACGTGCCATAAAACTGCTGCGTGATTATTATCAGCGTAAATTTACGGATTTAAGTGAAAATCCCCAGGATGCGGAAACTGCTAATGGTGAGTCACATTTTTCACAACAAACAGTTTAACTAATTTTATGATATATGTATATATGTAGGTATCGAAGAAGTAGAAGAAGAGCAACTTGGTCTGCTGAAGGAGCAAATTCGGCCACGTCGTAAAATTCCCACCTTACTAAAACGCTTAAGTGAACGCGTGCCGGAACATATCGATTACTTGGGCACGTCTTATGGTTTAACACAAGAGCTACTCAAATTTTGGAAAAACTTGGGTTTCGTGCCGGTATATGTTAGGTAACGCTGCACAATTTTTTTTTGTCATTTACAAATATCTTCTTTTCGAATACAGTCAAAAGGCAAACGATCTGACTGGTGAGCACTCTTGCATTATGCTGCACACACTAGATAAAACTGGAGCAACACAAGAGAAGAAATGCGCGGAATGGTTGAGCTTGTACTTCAATGACTTTAGACGACGTATAACGAAGCTTCTGAGCAAAACATTTCGTGAATTCACCACCAGTCTATCATTGTCCATAATAGATAACAAGTGGGCGAAGTTGGACCATAAAGGTAATTATAAGCATGCAACTTTTGAATTAGTCTCATTCTACACACAATTTTCTATATAACAGCGCTCGATAAGCATACGCTTGATGTTTACTTCCTGCCGCATGATATTGAACGTTTAGAAGCGTATTCGCGCAATCAAATCGAATATCGTTTGATACTGGATTTGGTGAGCGATATAAGTGCCTTGTATTTCCAAGGTAAAATGCAAGAACTGCAAATAGACACTTTACAAAAGGTAAGATATTACACCAGCTGCTGATTTACCAAAATAAGAGCACTACAAACGTTTAATCACTGCATTTTTAACAGGCTATACTACTGGCAATTGGCGTACAGGGCAAAACTGTGGACGCTATAGCTGCCGAGCTAAATATGCCCGGCAATCAGATTTTAGCTAAATTCTATGATATGCTCAAAAAAACTTCCAAATATCTGCTTGCTGTTATCGAAGGTCACATCGAGAGCAATATGAAGAGTGAGACACAGCTGAATCGTGGCGAAGATTTTATTCCAGTCTCGCTCTCGCTAAACGATGAATTAGAAGAGACTGCACAACAGTTGTCGAAGAAACAAAAGGAGGAACTCAGGAAGCTAAAAATGGAAAGCTTAAAAGAATTCGCCATTAAAGGCACCGATGAGGACTGGTCGAAGGCCTTGACAAATAATGATGGCAAAACGAAGCTGATATCCGTTAAAAGGTATACAGTTTACAAACTTATTGAAAGTACTTGCATAATAATTACACATTTTTTTGTTTACTACAGCGGAATCAAGCGCTTGGAAGACCCCATAGAGAAAAGTGAGCCTAAAGAGCAACCGAAAAAGAAGAAAATTAAGTTTAGCAAAAAGACTAAAGCCTCTATGAAGTCCCTAATTTAATCAATTTTTGTTTATATCAAGGTAGTAATGATTTCTACTACAACTTAAGAATAAAAAAAGTATATACCTTAACGTGCGTCGTTTGTTTATTTCCGCTTTATTTATAGAATATATATTTTCATTGACTATTTGTTTGAAAATTGTATGTGACACTGTGCAATTTTTTTTTTTTGCGGTCCATGCAGTTTCTTTGATAACAGCGCAGAACTAGAAAAAAATATCATTAGAAGTTATATTCAAACGAGTTATATTCCACTATAAACCCATTTCATACCCGCCAGCAAAAACTGCAATCACATTTGTGTAACAAAATTTTTTTAAGCATTTAATATCCTAAATTCTAAGCACCCTGCTTCTCGATCTGCTTTTGACGTTCGAGCAACCTTCGCTCACGTTCAAACTCTTTCATACGCAACACGTAGTCCTCGTATTCGCATATTAAATAGTCGTGTTTCTCATGATGACATTTATATAAAAAGGGAAAGGTATCAGCACGGCAAGCACGGTATTTAAGCAACTTGTGTGCACAGTAGTCACGATCCTCAAGTGCCAATTTAGCAGATTCCATCTCTTCGACAGTCGCTATCATGACACGCTCCTTGCGTGATTCGAAACCCAACATGGGATCGAATGAGGGCACACAATCAGGGCCAGGCGTTACATCTGGCTTAATGGCACGTGCATAAGCATTACCCATACTGTTGTCGTTCTGTACGTTTCGCTATTAAATGTATAAAATTAATATTTTTGCACAAAATTGAAATTTGTATAAACAAATTACGTAAATATAGTTGCTCGCCGATTTCTTTCTGGCTAGCTGCTTGCTGAGAACGTCAAATATGACAGCTGAATTGATGCTTTAATGTAATAGATTGGTGGAGATGCCAACGCAAAAGAATAATTTCTGTGCAATATATGGCAGCGCATTTTAAAAATCAAATGGCGGCGCCAATTTTTGACAATCTTCAAAATCAAAAACCAACAGAACATTAGAAGCAGAGATAAAATTAGAAGCTTCAACAGCGAATTGAGTTGAATGTATATTTCAAAAAATAGAATTATTGTATTACAAACAAAATAATGGATACGCCACGACGTGAGACACGTAGCATGCACTTGCAAAATGTACAAAAGTTTAGTACACCACTGCGCATACCACCATCACCATTTATGAAAAATCTTGGATACGGAACTGGAGTAAATGTTTATAAATTGGAACGTTCACCAAAATGCGGTGAAATGCGTTCACCTTGGGCTGTGAAGCGAATTTCTCAAAGAACACGTAATAATGAACACGCTTCGCTCTTTAATGCACGTATTCATGAAGAAGCGAATATTTTAAGGTATTTATTTGATTGTGCACAAAATTTAATTTAAAAAAATGGAATTTTTGTAGGAAGCTATCACATCCTAATATTGTTGGTTTTCGTGGTATAATTAAAAACTCAGATGGTGTCGAAACATTAGCACTCGAATGCTGTAAAACCTCATTAGGTACTTTGTTAGAAGATCGCAACGAGGACAATATGGGGCCATTACCCGCAAAGTATACGCTCAAAATGATTAATGATATCACAAGTGCATTGGATTATTTACATACAGAAGTTAAATTACTACATGGCGACCTGAAATCGTTTAATGTATTGGTGAAAGGCGATTTCGAAATATGTAAATTATGCGATTTCGGTGTAAGCTTGCAAATGGACGAAGATGGATTGATTGATTTTAGCAAAAATCCAAAACTACGATATGTTGGTTAGTATAAAATAATTTTCCATTGTAAAAGTGTTCAATAACTGGTGTAATTCCAGGTACAAATCTTTGGTCTGCACCCGAAGTAATCGACGAAGTGGAAATCATCGATAGCAAAGCAGATATTTTTAGTTTTGGTTTAATAATATATGAAACAATTTCTTTAGTGCCACCACATACACTATTCTTAGGAGAGACCAATGACCGCGAAAACTCCAATTCCTCTAAATCCGCTGACAACAGTGGTGCAGAATTAGAAAAGACCGAACTTTGCGAAGATGCCTATGGTACGCGTCCACCACTACCACAAGCATTCCAATTGACGGAGGAATACAATATAATTATGGAGATATTTTATTGTTGTACAAACGAAATTGCAGAAGATAGACCTACGGCAAAAACAATATGGACAATGTTGCAAAATGAAAATTTTGCTGACAAAGAGAACCAAACAACCAATGCAAAAACTGATGGGAAAATTGACAAATAATTATAAAATTAGCGTCAGAATCTATATTACACAGAATTCGATAACAACCAAGAAAGTTGTCTCCCAATATTTTTTTTTTTAATTGTAGAATATGCATACCTTATTTTTTTCTTTTTTCAATAAATCATAACGCAATTCAAATAAAAAATTCGAATTTGTGTATGAAAGGTATGAATAGCATCGGGGCACCGAACAAGGTTCACAGGTACAAGTTTTCTTACAACAAATTGATTTTGATAGGTCAGTTTATATGGGAGCTATATGCTATAGTGATCCGATCTGAACTATTTCTTCACAGATGCTATTGTCGTCTTGGAGAAAAATCCATGCCACATTTTGTGAAGATACCTTAGCAAATAAAAAAGTTTTTCGTACAAAAAATTGATTTTGATAGTGCAGTTTGAATGACGCCAAAACCCTCAACCTGTCAGCGAAAAAGTGAGCCCCAAAGAGCTCTGAAATAGAAAACAGTGACACTAGTATTTCAGTAAAACAGGGAAAAGTGAAAGCCAATGCTGATAAGCTCACTTTTTACTGCACTAATGCGCCCGTAATAGCATCAGCTAAACTGCCGCATATTTTTGTGGATCAATAACATCATGGACATGTTATCAGTGGTTGAGAAATTAGTGGTTAAAAGCACGCTTACCTCCAAGACAGATAGAGATGCTAAGGTAACGCTCATAGTCAACGATAGTGATGGCTACAGAAAAATAGTCAGAGCAGTTACTGATATTAAAGTAGGTTTCCAGACATTTTAGCTGAAAGCGTGCCTTTAAGTTTCACATTGCACAAATTCTCTGATATATATCAAGAGCGAGCTTGCAAAAAAAGCGTAACTGGTGGTGATTATAATGCTCATCGCTCAGAAATACGTTCGACAAAAAACTTTTGAACCGCTCAACAATGGAGCTTAAGGAGGTTCTCTTGAAACTGCGCAACAAATTTTTAGAAGCATATCGGCTTGCTGAAAAACCAGGAGATCCTGAAAATAATCTTTGAAACGCACATGCGAGACAAAAGAAAAAGCCGATAGTCAGATGCCCACCAATTATCAACAGCAGAGTTCTCTAGTGCCGAAGCAATGAAAAAACATCCGATGCGTTTACCACACATCTCCAAAACAATTTTACTTCTAACGAGTTTAGTGAGGGTTCTGGAGAGTTGGCAAAAAAAAAACCAAGTTATGACAGAATTAATGCTCTTTAATGGAAAATTGTAAATACTATTCTGCAGTTTTCCTTGATGTCCGTCAAGGTATCTAGTGCTAAAGTTGCATAATTGGACGGTCCATGTTAGGTGTCGTAGTGCCCACACAACTGACGGTCACAAACACTGCTAACAGTCCCTCCTCCCAGTGATTAACTCTGGCTCTACAATTACGGATGACACAGCACTGTTGGCGTCGACTAGCAATTCTATTGCTACCACCAGGTGGAACCACCATCGAAACTTAAAAATTATAAAAATTCCCAATGTATAATAATTTAATAGTCGTTATCTCTCTCAATTGGAGATCCATGATAACGTACTTGCGATCCAATTGCTGGACAATATTCAACCACGTAGAAGAAGTTTTTGTCATTTTAATAATAAGTATAAATAATAAATAAAACTTAATATTATACAACAACAAGAAAAAACATTAACTTCGGTTACAATAAAGCTATAATTCTCTTCACAGATACAAAGGATTCCCTATAAGAATTTGATTTTGATAGGTCAGTTTATATGTCAGCTATATGCTATAGTGATCCGATCTGAACAATTTGTTCGCAGATGTTATTGTTGTCTTGGAAAAAAATCCATGCCAAATTTCTTGAAGACCTCTCGTCAAATGAAAAAGCTAGCTTTCCGATATCGGCGGTTCCGACAAATGAACAGCTACTTGGGAAGAAAAGAACATGAGCAAAATTTCAGGCTGATATCTCAAAAACGGAGTGTCTAGTTCACGTATATACGGGCGGACAGACAGACGGACATGGTTAAATCGGCACAGCTCGTCATGCTGATCATTTATGTATATACTCGTATATTTTATATGGTCTTCGACCTTTGTTTGTGGATGTTACAAAATTTGGGGTATAAAAACAAGAATTTTTGTATGTTTGTATACGGCAGTGGGGGATATCAGGTACGCTCTAATCAATAAGTTGTAACTTCATAATCACAAATTAACTGGCGCTAACAACCTACTGACAACGGTAGCATACGCCCACTTAACTACCGTAATACACTTGCATATAAAATATAAAAGGGCACAATTCTGAAATATTCCACATAAAGGCATCTGAATTAGTGAAGTTTTAATCGTAAAATATTTTTAGAAAAATTTACCGAAACCTAAAAGCTTGTTAAAGCATAATGCCAAAAATTAGCACCGTATTTTGTCTTGCTTTCAAAGAGACAATAATGGAATATTTCAAAAATACCAGCCTTAGCGGATTTCACTTGTTACATTATATAAGTAGCAAAAAATATCAACGGTAAATTAGATATTACATAATTGAAAAATAAAATTAGAAAAGTTAATAGTTTGATAAAAAATGTTTTCCTCGCACGAGTTTAGAATTGTTTGGTCCTTCTTCCTTGTGGCTGGTATTTTCAGCACATCGCATGTAACGTTGCTATACGTACAAAATATTTTGGAACAACCGATTGTGACCACCTTGGAATCTAATCATCATAGTATTAAGAAAGTTCCATTTTCGGCAGTGGCTATTTGTAGTGTCAACAAATTCAGTCGAAGCGCCGTAAACGCTTTTGTAGAAAAAATGTAAGTTGAGCACTTTGAACTTTGAAATTCTGAAACTTAAACTTTTAACATATTTATTAAAGGGTCAACAAAACCGGTGCGCAAATCTCACATCAACAGTTGTTGCAGAAAATGAAATTATTCGCCGGCTTGTTTGATACTGGTTCTGTGGATTTCCAAGAAGCCGCGGCTTTTCAAAGCGAATTTTTAGACAAATATAACGTCAATATACAGGAAACTTTACAAAAGGCATGCACATTTTTAAAAACTGGTTAATATGCTTATTTTTATTTTTTATAATAATTACATAACTGCAGCTAGCGCCTAGGTGTGAGGATCTGCTATTAAAGTGTCGCTGGGCAGGAAAGTTTCAAGAATGCACCGAACTTTTTCAAAAACGTTTAACGGCGAACGGCTACTGCTGCATATTCAATCAACTTGACGACGTTAATAACGCAAGGTAGGCAAACGTAATTGAATGTTTTCAAAATGGTTTTTCAAACAAAAAATTAGCTTGTAGCTTGATTTTGTAAAGCAATACTATTTGTTTTTTTTTTTTTTGTTTTTTGTGTACACAAAGTAAACTCAAGTACATAGAAGATGTCGGTATTCAAAACGGACTCACTTTACTTTTAAATACATCCAAAAACGATTACTTTCTAACGGATCACAGCTTTGCCGGTTATATAGCACAAATTTTCAGTTCTGGGCAATTTCCCGACAATTCAATTGGGCGCCCTCTTCAAGAATCCTTTGTACCACAGGCTAGTGCCATTGATTTGCAATTGAGTGTGCTAGTGCAAACAGCGACCAGCGAAATGAGAATGTACAATCTTAAACAAAGACAGTGTTATCTTTATGCCGAAAATGTCGCTGGTGGTGATGATCAATACAGTACAGATAAATGTATGTCACTTTGTAAATCATTCGGCGTGTTACGCTTTTGTGATTGTGTGCCGTATTATATACCTTCGATCCTTAATATATACAATAATACATACTGTACACTGGCACATTTGGAATGTTTACATCGGAATCGAGGTTCGCCATGATAAGTTTAATGATTTGAAATTTTCATCAAACATACATACATATATATTTCTGCAGTTGCCCTAAACACGTACAACCTCATCGCTAGTGGCAAACATGGGGCACTGACAAATCGTTCACTTCAATGTTCACGATGTTTACCACTGTGTAATTTTAATACTTATAATTTGGGACATCAAAAGACATCATTAAAACAATCGTACCTGCTAACAGTAAATCAAGAATTTCTCAAGTTAATTGAAAGGCAAGAAAGTGGCAGCAAATCTAATTACACGTATGAGTCATTGTAAGTAGGCTGAATTTTGTTGCTTATAGATATGTACATTATCATGACCGTTATTTTCCATGTTGATGTTTTCTTAAGTTTCAGTTTCTGCCCTAAACAAAAAGTATCTAACGCAAAAACTCTTTATTTTCAATTTAATCCGAGCCTAAATCATTTTACTTTTCCCATTCATTTTACATGGGATTTTTTGATCTTTTGCAATACATTTTTTATCTCCAAAGCAGATAAACGTACAACTTTAAAATAATGATATTATAATACAAAATTTTTCGCTCTACAAAAAAGCTTCTAATAGTTTTTTTCATAAAAACATTTCTTTAAAAGTTATGCGCAGTTAAAGTGATGCATCAAATGTACTGTATACATACCGGACACCATGTCGTATGAGCAACACATAATGAATAAATTACTTGTATGAATGCTCAGTACATTTAATGAATTTCTCTTTTTTTAAGTTGCTTGCTTAATACAAAATATCAAAAAATCACATGTTATATACATACATGGTACAAGAAATATGTTTTAGGCACGGTTTTATATAAAAACAAAGAGCTTGTTCACATTGAATCTGCTTTTTATGCAAAAAACTGAAATCTCAGCAGTCGTTTGAAGACCAAAATCAACTTGAACGAACATGCATATACCTAAATGTAAACATTTTATTCATAATTATTTATTCTGTTTAGAGTCACTTTGATAAAACAGACGGACGATCTGAGTGTGGTGAGAATCTATTTCAGTTCTTTGTACGCTGTACTATTTTCAAAACGCTCACTCTACAATTGGTATGAAATTTTATGTAAGTAATAAGTATTAACGCTGGTTATATGTTTCAAGTAAATTTCGATTTCTTGAATGTAAAATTACATATTTTTGATCTTAACTGCTTTTAAGTTGAATAAACTTTTTTATTTTTTTTATAGCAAATATTGGTGGTGTCATTGGCATTTTTGTGGGCTGCTCACTCATTAGTGTATTTGAGGTTATTTACTTTTTCATCGTAAAGTTGATACATAAAATTCGAAAATATTACTAAATTCTCTCTAAAAGAGTTAATGGATAATCAGCTGAACAGCTTAGAAGCTTTTAGTGTAATAATTGGGTCTGATCATTGTATCCGTTTCGATCGACAGAAATTGCCTGAGAATGTTAATAAATGTATTAATAATATAAAATTAAATTTATTAACATTCTCTGAAATTACATTGAAATTATTGAAACCGTATCGAAAACCAAATTTTCGATGAAGTTAAACTCACTTACCGACCCGTTAAAATACAATCTGTGGCTAATAGATGGCGCTAATTTCAAAATCATTGAAACCGCAAATTCAGTATATTTGTCGAAATCAATCCGTTGATAAGTGAGTTGCGGAAATTTAAAAAAATATGGAATTTGTGTGTATTTATATGAAAATATTGCTAAGGTCGCACAAAATTATATTTAAATATGTATTTTAGTGAAAAGAAACAAACACACACCAACAAAAATCAATTTGAAGTACATATTTAAGGGATTTCCATAAAGATGGAAAAACGTACGAAAAAATATCATGGTTAATTTTTTTCAAATTTTTGGAACAGCGTAGTCTGTCTTTCAGCCTAGTAACTTTAAGTCCACTCGAAAAGTAGGTCAGCAGTATAAAATAAAAATAAATAAAAATACAATAGTTTACGTAGGGTAGAGAAGGTTATCGACGGTATCAATGATCGCAAGAACAATTTAGGTCGTAAATTCTTTCCGTTTGGAATTGGATTTCGATGGATTAGACCCCTCATTTATAAACGTATTTACAACCTTTTAATAAAACACCAAGGTCAAGTCAATATTTAATGCCATCACGAGGCTTTATTAAACAAAAATACAATTCCACTTGCCGCCTAATGCATTTTGTAGAACTATATTATATATTTGTGTATTTATTTATGTATAAAATGTGTATGTATTTATTTTAAGAAATATTTGTTTACCATTATTCGACTTTGATAATTATTAAGCTCAAAATTTTAAATAAATATTGTATTTGTTAAATGTGTTTTTTGAAGATTGCATAATTTTTTATCTATGTTATATAGGTAAACTGCTCTTTTCTATATTTTTTTGTTGCTGGTGTGTTTTTTGCTGCTGTAAAAACATTAAATATGAAGGCATAAATTGACAAGTCTTTTGAGTGGTTTGCTATTTGCTCTAAAATATTTGACAACTTTTTTATTCAATAGTACGGGTAAGTTAAAAGTTGTATTTGTATGTATCTAACTACTAGTGGACGAGCATAAAATAGGACTGAACTGTCTTAGTTGTTATATACTGGTATGTTTGTGTATATATAGGACGTATAGTATTGTATAAGTACTTTAGTTTACTAATAGACTATAAGACACATGCAAATTGATGTTTTACTCTTAGCTTGTTTTTGTTTTTTTGTTTTGAATATTCTAGTTGCTAATCATGTTAGCTAATTTGAAGGCCATTGAGATTTTATATTTTCAAAAAAAAAAAAACAGATTTGATTTTCACGGATCTATACATACATATAAATGTAAATAGTTTTTAAAAATTTGAGAAAAATTTTGTATATAGGATTTTAGATTGAGCAATCTTTTTACGGAAGTAACCTTTAAAAAACAAAAAAAAAAAGAAAAAACTTTCTCAACATAACTCACGCACATATATGCTTTTGTTTGAGGGTTCCGATTTGCGTATTTGCAATAGACTTGTTAAAAGAATCGGTTTTGTGACAATATGTGACTGTTTAAATGTAAAGAGCGTATAGGCTTCAAATTAGCAGTAACGGTTAATTAATTTGAATTTTTTTCTTTTGCCTTTCTAAATTAGTTAGTTTTATATAAATGGGGCTAGCTTAAAACATGATTGAATTATATAAGGTTGTGTTACTTGAGAGCCTGCTTCTTCTTACGAAAATAATAGTTTTTATGATTTTTTTATGAATTCAATTTTTTTTTTTTACATTTTGATGATTTTGTGTGATTTACAATTTATTACTCAAAAAACACATTTTTATTGGCTGGAATATTTAAAAAATACAGCTGATTTTGACATTATAAGTTAAAACACTTTGGACAAATTGTTGTTTTTGGGCAATTCACACAACCTTATATAATTGAATCATGGCTTAAAATAAATTTATCTTTTGAACATGTTTTTTTTTCGAAATTTAATGAACCACATTCGTGTAATTCATTCGCGCATACATACAGTGCAAACAAAAAGTTTTGCACCAATTACATGAGAACACAAAATTTGTTTTTTTTTTTTTGGAATGTGTACGTCTGTGTAACTGCATTGTTAACACTGTCGAATTATATACGAGCATTTAATATTTACCAAACACATTGTACGTTTAACAGACAATTTTACACTAAATTTAACTGTAAATAAATGTGTATATGAAAATAAGCAGGACAACTACAATAAAAAAAAACATGATTTAAAAAATATTAACAATGCATACGCAGATATGTAAATATGTGTATATGTACCTAATAATACAGTATGTTTAGTTAAAATGCGTTGACGTGTATGATTTGTAAACAATAATTGGAAACAATACGACGAAAACGTCAAGCGCATTAATAACATTACACTTTACACATTAATTTATAATTAAATAGTACTATTTAAGTATGTAATAGAAATAAAATTAAACGTGAAGCATGAAAATTTGTGTGTATATATGTGTTGTCTTTTTGTTATGCCTAAGATTGCTTAGATTTTTTATAGACTCGGAAACTTTTTGCAAAATATAATAACTTTGTATATATACTCTGCATTTCCGTTTTGTTCGACCTGAAAGTTCCGCTTGTCCTTTGCCATAACATCTTTGTCTTTTTGCGTCATTCTTTTTTGTTTTTGTTTTAATTACTATATCGCTTCTTATTCGATTCAAAGATGTAGTACACCGTCTTTGGACTCACTGCCGCCGACAATTGTTGAAGCCGTTGAAGCTGTTGATGCCGTCTGGTGATGTTGTGACGTAATTATCAGTGCCGGTGATGGTACCGTTGATTGTTGTGGTTGTGGAGCTACATTGTTATGATCATCGAGTGTTATGCCGGTCAGATCGACGACTTCATCTTGCTCATCTTGTTCATTTTCATCCGATGTATTGGTTTGATTGGTATGATGGGAACCGCTCGATAATTGACTGTTGCGCGAGAATGAGCCGCGACGTGGTGAGGTAAGTGTACGCTGATTTGCTGGCTTCACCGTTATTATTAGATTAGAACTATTTGCCACCATCATATCGGTGACCTAAAGAAACTGTTTTTTTAAATGTATTGTCGGTTGAAATTAAAAAATACCTGATCCAGTGTTTTACCAGCCACTTCAATACCATTTACTTCTATAACCTCATCGTTGACTGCTAAAAGTCCAGTGCTTTCAGCAAGTCCACCAGGCACGAGGCGCGATATGAAAATACCAGGTTGTTTCTCTAAACCGTTTGCGGTTACGCGTACAGACGTACCATCTCTGTGTGAAAAAAAAATACACAATCACAGAATTTAAGAATGTTTATTGAATCAAAACTCGACAATTTGATTTATTATAAGAAAAAAAAAATCGTGCCAATGCATTCATAATTAAAAACGGAAATTTTTTTTTTGAAAATATCAAGTTCTAATTCTCTTAATTCACAATGATACACCAACTGTTTATATAGTTTAATATCTTACCTTATATAAAATCCCAAAGGCTTATCGCTACCATATTTAAGTAAACGCACACGACGATGCGTCTCTGGCACAATATCAACATCAATTATAGCCGATACTTGACGGAAATCATGTGGTATTGATATTGTTGGTAGTTTTGTTTTGACGGGAGTCTGTCCCAGTATACTGCTGATTAGATTATTACGCGGTTTCATTGTGCCAAAACCGGGGAACTCTTCCAAATCATCTAGTTCAAGATAAAAGCTTAAAGAAAATATGCAAAGAAAATAACTTAAATTACATACCTTTACGTTGAACGATGATGCGCAACAAAGGTCTGGCAATTTTCAACGCTCTACCAAAGTTGTCATCATTATTAATTGGCAACAGATCGTTATCACGTGGGTCAATGTATAAAATAATAAATTGTATTGTGTGCAGTCTATGCAATTTTTCAATAAGGGCAGAGAAATCTTCAAAATTTTGCAAGTCGCCATGCCGTTTAAAGCTCCAGCGGCGGAATTCGGCATCAAACTAACAAAGCAATAATTTACATATAATAGTATATATTTTATATGAGTTTAGGTTTTGTTGGGAACCATTTTTATAGAGCAAGATACAAGTTAGAAAAGCGACAAAATGCGTGAACCTAACATACTAACTATATAGCCCTTTAAGAAATACGTGGAATGCGTACAATGAATAAATTAATTAGTAATGTAAATTATCGAAACACTCCCTCTTCACACACAATTACACGCCTTATATGTACTACATGGTAATGGATTCTATACACTCGATACAAGTGCAGTAATGAAAACGGCTGTACTCAATCGAGGTCACGTTTCACATGACATTGTGCACCCAATTCACCATAGGAACAAAACCAATAAACAAATTTACACTATACTGCTTTTACATCAAATATTAATTTAAAATAAATATCGAACTATGCCCGTTGGAATGAACGCCTGTTGCGTCTTTATAATGAAACCTTTGATGATAGCAAACGTCATGCAGTACAATTACAGATATGTAATGTCAAGCTTATTTGCGGCATGTTGCAGCATACCTAGCATAGCTCGGTTAGATAGTAGGCATTTATGTGATTAACGACGGTAGCGGTATGGAAGTTGGCAATGGGTCTATTATGAATCACCTACGATACCCTGTCTGCTCAAGCTATGTCAGTAACCACATATCTCTATTTTTATACTCTTGCAACATGTTTATATAATAGGTATTCCCAAATTAAGAAAATATTTAATTTATATTCTATACTTATTATTTCCCATTTTAAATGACTGTGGATAGTAATTATTTTCTTTATGATGCATTTCACTGGTTCACCTTTGATTTCACTTCAATTAGATTTGTTTCTCCGGTCGCCATTGAATTTGTTTTATTTTTCGACATTTTGATTTATAGCATTAAAATGCCAATACACCAATTAAAAAATTTTGTAAAATTTTCTTATTTATTGTTATTCACTCAATTATATTTTACAAAACTAACAGAAAATCTAAAATTGGTTAAAAATTATAAAAGAAGGAACGAAAAGCAAAGTAATTGAACAACAAAAAATAAAAAGATTGTAGAGCTGCACATACCAGAGAACGTATATGATATACGTTCTCTGCTTAAACGCAAGTAAAAATAAATTGTACAAGATCTTTCAGCTGCTATTGTGAATGAAATGTAGAGAAAATCGGATTTTGTATACTTCCCACACCAAAAGCCGCGTTTTCAACATATAACTTTTTCAGCTAACAACAGAAAATTGTTAATAATTAAAATTACTAAGAGGTATAATTGAAACATTTTAAAAATGACTTCCGCATTAGCTTTATTTTTAAGTCAGAGGGATTTTTTAGGGATCTATGTATTTATAGCATAGAACGGTATTATACGTTCTCTGTTTATAGTTTAAAGTTTTATGAACGCGCAACACTGTCATTTCTAAATACACAAACACTGTCACACAAAGCTGCCGCTAATAAAAGGGAACGTCAAAATTAGGATTTTTAGTTTTCGTATTAGCAACGTTTTGCACAATTTGTTTAATAAGTTTTAATTAAACCTTAATAAAAATGGATGTTCGTCCAAATCAAACAATTTACATTAATAATCTAAATGAAAAGATTAAGAAGGAAGAACTGAAAAAATCACTGTACGCCATTTTTTCACAATTTGGACAAATACTAGATATAGTGGCGCTAAAAACGCTCAAAATGCGTGGTCAGGCATTTGTAATTTTTAAAGAAATTGGTAGTGCGTCAAATGCGCTACGAACTATGCAAGGATTTCCATTTTATGACAAACCAATGCGCATCGCTTATTCTAAGACCGATAGTGATATAGTGGCCAAAATAAAAGGCACATTTAAAGAGCGTCCAAAGAAGGTTAAACCACCAAAGCCGGCACAAGCCACCGAGGATAAAAAGTGAGTATACATATTATCAGTTTAATACAAAGTTTATTTACGATGTATGTTTTTGTTTCACAGGGATAAAAAGAAGAAGGCGGCAAATGCTGAAAATACGAATCCTAATACACAAACTGAACAACCACCCAATCAAATTCTTTTCCTCACCAACTTGCCGGAGGAAACAAATGAAATGATGCTGTCTATGTTATTCAATCAATTCCCTGGCTTCAAAGAGGTGCGTTTGGTGCCAAATCGTCACGATATTGCCTTCGTAGAATTTGCCACCGAATTACAAAGTAACGCTGCCAAAGAGGCGTTGCAAGGTTTCAAAATAACACCTTCACATGCTATGAAGATCACCTTTGCCAAAAAGTGAAAACCCAATCACAGGCTTGAGGGCATCTTCACGATCTATATATTTAAATTTAACATAACAGTAGTGTTCTTTATGGCTACCCTCACACGGTGTGCTCGATTATGTGCATTCATTTTGCTAATAGTTAGAATTCAACACAATGAAATAGTAGCTGTAACAAAACATAGCTGCTAAATAATGAATTGATTAAAGTTAGTTTCCTCAATATCCCTTTTAATAAACATTTCAATATACTTTTATAAATTATACTAGTTCATAACTTGCACAATGACGTGTGAGGGTTAATCTTCTGATAATCTGAAGTTATATAGTACATTTAAGTGTACCATATTTCTTCTGGAAATAAAGTGCATGCCATGTTTGGCAGTGGAATGTAATAAACAATAATGTTTAATTTGCAAAGTTAAAGTACTTGTGTAGGTAATTGTTAATTTAAAGCATGATAAGTATATTGATTTCAGGAAAACAAATCTAATAATATTTCATTAGTCAAGGACAGGTTCTTCCTCAATTATTTGTTCGGTTTCCACAATTTCTGGCATAATTTCTACGGGTATTGGTTCGCCGACATATTTCTCCATATTCTTGACTAGTTTCTCAGAGTTGCCTCCAACGAATACATCAATAACATGATTATCCTTGATAAAAACGAATGTTGGCATGCTGGTCACATTGTATTCAAGCGCTATGTCTTCACAATCATCCACATTGACTTTCAGCACAATTGCCTTCTCGGCATATTGTGTGGCCAACTCTTCTAATTTTGGACTAATAATCTTACATGGTCCACACCAGTTTGCAAAAAAATCAATGACCACCAATTGTCCAGAGCCGACGGCTTCCTCCAGCTTCTTGTCTAGATCTTCTTTATTTTGTATAATATACACCATGATTTCGAAACGTGTAGACGAAGTGCTGTCAAATTGTATGCTTTTTCAGAAACAATTTTTCTTTGAAAGACAGAAATTTTTATTTTCAATATTTTCAGCCCTTTAACAGTAAAATCTCAACAATGTGGTTGTGAATTGAAAGAGCAATTTTTTGTTTCTTTAGCAAGGTGTAGTTTGGTCAAAGAAAATCGAATTATGGTACATGAATTGTCAAACATGATTATTATCAGCGCTTCAAACATATAATCGTATTTATTGAATAGTTAACAATTTCGATTAAGTTGGCGCCAATGGAGAAGCTTGAGCTATTTGTGCAGTCGATTCAATAGGTATCCTTTGCTGTCCTTGTCCAGCTGTCGTTGTTGGATTTGTCGTTGGTGGGTCACTAACGACATTCGTTGGTTCTCCCACATGTTTTTGTATGGTGCTCATTAACTTCTCTTCACTACTTCCGGCAAACTTTTCCAAGACTTGACTTTCTTTTAACAACATAAACGAAGGCATCATGCTGACATTGTTGTCAATGGCGATTTGTTCGCAATCATCTATATTAACCTTCGCTATAATCAATTTACCACTATATGAAGCTGCAAGTTCTTCGAGTTTCCTATTTATTAGCATACAAGCGCCACACCATGGCGCATAAAATTCAACTAATAAATACTTATTTCCCACATCTTTCAATAGTTTAATGTAGGTAGCACTTTCGGTTATTATTATTAATTCATTGACCTTATCTCCAGCAGGAGTGTTTGGCGGGGTGACTGTGCGTAATGGATGAACTGTAGGTAATGGGTGCATTTGTGTAGCTTGTAATGTGGTACTTGCTGGTGGCTGATTTGCAGGAGCTGTTGGAGGTGCTGGTGTTGCTGCGTGAGCTTGTGTGGAGATGGCTGTGGTATTTGCAACTGGAGGAGCTGTTGTCGTTGATGGTGGGGCTGGGGTTGGTTGTTGTCGATTCCTAACCGCTGTTGCTGGTGCTGTATTGGTTATGGGTCTAGGCGTTTGTTCAGAAGACATTTCAATTTTATTTATTTCCAATTTAAAAGACAATTGTAAAAAAAACGTACGAAATTTTGAAATTTCAATTTGATAGTTTGTTTTAATAAATAAATATGCCAACTTATGTACATACATACAAATGTACATATACCAATGAAAACTTAGCCTTATTTGAGATTGCAATAAACTTGGTCTTTGCTTTAAGCCTAGATCCAATAAAATCGACATATATGTACATATGTAACAATGAATGTATTTTAAGGCCAACAGTCTATCAAAAAAAACCATTCTTGGCTTTTCAACGAAAACTCGTGTATAACTAAATCTAAATAAACCAGAAATTGAAAAAAGCCAGAAAAACATCAACAATGTTGGAAGCAATGTCCGTCTGTCTGTCCGTATGTATATACGAGAAATTCGGCACACATCCGTTTCTTCCAAAGAAGCTGCTTATTTGTCGGAATAGCCGATACTGGACCACTATATCATATACATAGCTGTCATACAAACTTAACGATTAAAATCAAGGTTTTGTGTGGGAAACTTTTTTATTTGGCGAAATATGTAATTTCACGAAATTTGACATGGATTAATACATAATCAGTATACATAATCTACCAACCGATCAAAATCAAGTCCTTATATGGAAAGCTATTTTATTTGACGAGATATCTTCACGAAATTTGGCTTGGATTATTATCCAAGGCAACCCTATTAAATCATTCAGATCAGACCATTAAATCATATAGCTGCAATACAAACTAAACGGTCAAAATCAATGTATTGAATGGAAAACTTTTTTGTTGTGAAGGGTACATTCTTGTTATTTTCATATTTAGACAAATTTTTCTAGAACAAAATTTTAAATAGTTTCGCTGCGATAGCGCAAATAATCTCTTAAATTTACACCGGGAGTTACATAAGCATACGGTTTTATGTTAAATATTGTATATACTATGTATATACTTATGGATATGAAGAAATACATACATATATGGTATACACAAAATAAATCCGTTACCAACAATTATCATAATGATAATACAGTTAAGGCGAGGGTGCATATTAAACAATTGTTGTTTTTTAAATTATTTGTATAACATACATACATACATACATATGCATATGGCTATGTAACTAAAACCGATAAGCAACAAACTTTAGCCTAAATCTTGCATTTTAGAATAATGTAACTAAATGCGAGATTACTTTTAGTAAAGCTCGCAAAGTGTTATGACGTCCCAGTTGGATTGTTAAGAAACTGGAGTTTATTTCATTGTAATTTTGTTTGTATTGTACAAGTTTTCTTTTATTATAAATTATTTTGTCTCTAAACGACGATTTTCAAAAAAACAAAATGTTGCACACTGTCCGAAGTAATGCTGATTTTGATAGACAATTGTCGGCCGCTGGCGGCCGTTTGGTGGTTGTCGATTTCACGGCCAGCTGGTGTGGTCCCTGCAAGAGTATTGAACCCAAAGTCAGAGCGCTATCGCGTAAATATAAGGACAAAGCAGTTGTGCTGAAAGTGGACGTGGACAAGTGTAGCAATGTGGCGCATGATTATAGAATATCTTGTATGCCCACATTTGTATTTATAAGAAATGGACGTAAGATCGATCGTTTTTCAGGAGCCGATGAAACGGAGTTGGAGTATAAAATGGCAAAAATGGCTAAAGCTAAGTGAGACAAATAATTAAAATGTAAATGGAAACTATAAAATTAAAATTTTAAATATTTATAACAGAGGTTTTGAAAAAATTGTATTTGTAATGTAATTGACTTCATTGTATTTAAAAGAATGTAAAAGGCATCTGGTATGCCATTTAAAAACTAATGAAACATTGTAAAACTATTATATTAAATGTATGTTAAACTATGTAATAAAAACAACAATGAGCTTAAGAATTTGGATTTTTACTTAAAAAAACATCATTGTTATAACTGTAACATGATCACTAAAGTCGAACTTAAATTTCAAAGAGGGTTGGCCTATTTCTTGTTAGAACTTTGATTTGCGATTACGGTATTTAATAAGATTCAAGGAACAGTTATGTTTTCTGTGGTTAGCGGATAAATATAGGTACCAACTTCCCAACAATACGCTATAGTGTTTAGATTACCTTCGATTGAGTGTCTTGCGAGTTGTATGCTAAAAAAAATTACAGTTTGCATCGCATACTTAAATTAACAAACTTAATTTGGATTATTTGAGATGGTCAACAGAATGGTACGGCATTTTATATTGGTTGTAAAAAATAATTTTTTGAAATAAGTGGAACTAGCACATTTAAAAAAAGTATTTAATTTAAATTATTAAAAATACATAAATATACATATTATATTTAAACTGTGTGAAAAATTGGTAAAAGGTATGAAGCCAAAATACCAGAAGTAAACAAGAAAGTCCTTGAAATGTTTGTTAAATTATTAATATATAATATGTTATATTATGAGTCGAGCAAACTCAGACTTCCGCCACTTTTTTCTAGTCCACGCATTAGTAATATCTTATTGGTTAGATTTTTACGAATACCTCCCACAAAAGAATAGAAAAATCCTAATCCACGTTCTTTGTGAATGTTGTAAAAATTGTGACGAGAAGAAGAAGAGAATATTTTTTGTCTAGCCATTTGTATGGATTTTCGATTGAACGAGATTTTTCGTAAAAATATAAATATTTTGAACAAAATGAGTGTTAGAAATGAAAATCCGCAAACAGACGCCAAAGCGAATAATGCAGAATTAGGCGAAATTGATGAAGCAGAAGTAACCACATGAAAACATAGTATTTCACAATATTTTGTACACATTTTTTGATATAATTTTATTTTTTTTCCTGATATTATAGGAGGAAGCTTTATTAAAATCTGATGATGAGTATGATGCTGTGCGTACAAAAGCACAACCAGTAATTGGTACTTTGGCCCCGCCAACAGCAGTACTCACGGACGAAGATTCACTTATGAATGAAGCTGCGCAGCTACAAGACGGCACAGTTGGTATTGATGATGCCAGTTTAAGTGATGAAGATATAGCCGAACCAACACAAGTTGCAGTTGGACAAATAGTAGAAAATGAGCTCAGTGAGGACAGTGATGACGATGATGATGATGACATGGACGATTCAGAAAAGGCATTGTCGGCATATAAAAAGTTATGCATAGAGTTGGATGTAAACCAATATGCATACGATAAATATATACAACTATGTGATTTAGCACAGTAAATATCTACAATTATGTGTTGAGAATCTATTATTTAAATGAGAGATTACCTATTTTACATATTTACAGTACTACAGACGACCTGGATATCATAAGAGAAGCATATAGCCGTTTCTCCGCTGTTTACCCGTTGTCACAAGAATTGTGGTTAAAGTATTTGAGTATTGAAATGAATGTAGCTTTGTCTCCTAAAGAGATGGAATTTGTTGAAGACCTTTTTCGAAAAGCTTTGGCAGATTATTATTGTATGTTAATTGATAAGTAATTAGTGATTTTCACATTTCATTGCAATCTCATTACTTTCTTAGCAACTGCCATCGCTTTGGAGTTTGCGGCAATAGCTCCACGTTGCGCTGATCCCGAGAAAATATGGTGTGAATTATTGGGAACTTATGGTTTACATTGTCTTGAAGGCCAACAGTTTTTCAAACTATACCGGGAGTTCATATCGGTGCATCCTGCTATGAGGTAAACATTTTATAATAAATTGTATATAAGTAGCTTATATTGTATGCCTAATTTTTTCGTAGTGTGGAAGCAAAACAAGAGGCGTACATCAAGAGTTATTTGCAAGAATTGAAATACCCTCTTTTCAATATGGAAGAGAGTTATATTGAATTTAAGGTATTTTATCAAAAAAACAAAGAACACATTACACATGAAATAAGTTGGGAATTGTTGGATAAAAATTATTTCAAAGCAAAAGAATACCAGAGCAAAATTTTACCTTTCGAATATAAACTAAAAGAGTTAAATGTTAAGTGCTATCGCGAACGTGCTGAGGTCTATATGAACTATATCAAAGAAACGGATAAATTTCTTGATGAAAATGTGTTGCAAACAGTTTATGAACGAATGGTGGCCGCCTGCTGTTTAAATATTGATTGCTGGTTAACTTACATCGACTTTCTCACGTATCGCGATGCGTACGGGCGACCAGAAGAATTACAAGATTTACCTATTTTCCGCCAAACAGCAGTTGATGTAAATAAGCGGGCACTGCGCAATTGTACATGGTCGGAAAAATTATATGTAAAACATATGCTACTGCTGGAACAGTTGGGTAAATCGCGGGAAGAAGTACAGGAAGTTTTGGAATGCTCTATGACAGCTGGCTTTCAAACCGCCGAGCAGGCTGTTATTGTCTGGATGGAGTATTTAACGTATTTGCGACGGCACACGAATTACGAGAATGACGATGAGGTAGATTAATTTATACTTTTTTTTTAAACATATTTTGAGTGCCAAACTAAATTCATGCGCGGTTTATTAATATTTCAGTGCGACATTCTACGTAAAAATTTCAATTTAGCTTGGACTATACTCGGCCAGCAATGGGGCGTTTTAGCGGATTGCAATTGTGAGATCTTACAATTGTGGGGACGTTTGGAATATGGACCGTTACGTGATGCCAAACGTGGAAAAGAGCTCTGGACAACAGCTATGGGTACGTTCGTTTATTTGAGATGATTTTTAGCATTTAACGGTTTTGATTTAAAACAACGTAGAAAGTGCCGACAATGCAACACGTTCAGGACTGTGGATAGAATTTATCCAACTGGAGCTGCGACGAGACTTGGAAGCCACCAGAAAGTGGGTTTCTTTATAAACTTATATTATTTGCGTTATTTTACAACCCAAATTCTACACATTTTAAGCTAAATGTTTTATTTTCCATAGATTATTTCGCAAAGCTTTACATTCACCCGGACTTGACAATCCGATAGTAATTGTCGCAGCTTGGGAACGTTTCGAACGTTGCAATGGCACAACCAAAACTCTTAGTAACTGCATAAAGGAATGTGCTGAATTCAAGTTACAGTATCGTACAGAAATTTCACCCGTAAAATCCGATTCGATGGCAGCTAATAAAAGTATTCGGGGCATAAAACGAAAGACAACCGCGTCGACCGAGTCCACACTACCGGAAAAGAAAGCCAAATCAGAAATATTAAAGAAAAATATACAACCTAGTGGCAAGAGTGGAGGTGGTGGTAGTGTCAATGTACCTGGAACAAAGCGTGTGGAAACAGCCACATTTAAAGAGCATGAAAATGAAGAGATAGATTTGACCAAAGATCATTTACGCATATTTCTCAGTAATTTGGACTACAGGTACAAGACGCAGCGTGTATTTAGTAAGAATTAAACTAATAACTTAAACTATGCATTTTAGCTTATCAGAGGATGATATTCGTGCCAATTTGCCGAGTTTGAAAATTGTAAATGTGACGCTTATACGCTCTGCGAATGGCAAAAGTCGAGGGTTTGGTTATGCAGAACTGGAAAACAAAGTAAAGAACCAAAAGTTTTATTTCAATTTATGACGACTGCAGCAATTTCTATTTTCATTTAAGGTTGAAGTCGAGAAAGCGTTAGCTATGGACAGAATATCGGTGAACGGTCGGCCATTGTATATATCCAGTGTTTTGCGCGACAAGGAAAAACGACAGAAATTTAAGTATTCGGGTAAGTTTATATATAAGATTATTGCATAGCTTAGCTTCAACGGAAAGAGTCTCACGATAACTTTTTTTTTAATTATGCAGACGATGTTGAACCAAAGAAACTTTTCGTAAAAGGTTTACCCCCTGACACCACAAAGGAAGAATTAGAGCAGATTTTTGGCGCATTCGGCAAGTTGCAAGATGTTCGTTTAGTATATCACAAGTATGTTACAATTAACGAGTTATGTCATTTAAGTCAACTGTTAAAAACTTATTTTAATTGCAGAAGTGGTAAATTCAAAAATATCGCATATATCGAATACCAAGATGAATCAGCTGCAGGAAAGGCGGTGCTTGGTACAGATGAACTGGAACTGCGCTCGCATATTGTAAACACTCATATAAGAAATCATTTGGTTTTTATGGTATTAATTTATTTTTAAATTTACAGATTACAGTGGCGATCTCAGCACCGCCTCCAAAACCCACTTCGACCGCCATAAATGCAAACAAAGTGCTTGGTGTAAGCAAAAAACATAATAAGGCTTTTGATCAAAAGCCACGTATGTCACTTATACCAACAGTGGTGCGTAAACAACTAACCACTGCGCAAGATATTAATGCCACCAGTGCAGCGACTAGCAAAGCAACAAATGGAGCGTCTATTTCAAAAACAAATGAGGACTTTCGAAAATTATTACTCAAATAAGTGTGGCTTGACGTCATTGAATGTTATTTCGGCCACTACCGATTATTATTGCGGTAGTATTTACCTACCCTTTTGTGAATTAAATAGTGATTAGATCGTAAATATTTAAAAAAACAATACACCATAATAATGTATTAATCTTTGTTTACATTTTGTCCTTCCTTTAATAACACGAAATAAAAGGTAATATATATTTTTTGTATGAACATCATTATGTTTTGTATTAACACTTTGCACGTAATCTCTACTCACAAACATTGTGAAAATAAAAATATAATTTTTGCAATCGTTATACTTTGAATTTGACACTCTTGCTGACCGTCGCTTTGATACCGGATATTTCGCCACCATACCGTGTTGTTTCTTTGCGTACGGTGCGTACTGCACCCTTGCGTCGTACCAAAGCTTTGCGGAACTTGTTGCGATGCTTGACGCGTGGATTGCGCAATTCTTTTTTGCGCGCTGGTGTGAGACCTTTGTTTTTGGCAATTTGATAGGTAATGCCACGACGTATATCCTCATCCGCATATGGATTGGCTTCAGTTAGATTCATATCTTCATCTTCATTATCTTCCTCTTCAGACTCCTCATCAGCGTGTTTGTCATCAATTTTAATTTTCTCATCATATTTCTCAAGTATACCCAATTTTGTCTTCTTCTTAGACTTAGTTCTGTCAGCGATATCCTTCACATTCAATACTTGGAATTTATCACCATCTACAATTCGCTCTAATAATGCCTCCAGTTGTGGCCGTATTATATTATGGTATTTATTTTGCAACTGTTTGATGAGTTTTTTCAATTGTAATAAACGTTTTGTAACTGGGTGGTTGCGTACAGCGGTACGTTTAGCTTTCAAAAGCAAGTAAAATGCTACGTTCGAACAATAACTGAGCGCTATATTTTGATAGAGCTCTGCAAATTGTATAGCAGGTATCTTTGGCACATTATTTTGACGCACGTATAGCATAACAGGTGCTATAATCTGTTCCACTTCTTTGACATAATTCTCAAAATCATCCACAAGTGGTGCAAACTCTGGTGAATCTTCTTGAAATAACCTCAATTTATCTCGCTTAGTAATGCCGGCAAGATCAGCTTTAACTTCGATTGGTTCTACCGCAGCAGTTTCCTCTTTTAGCTTTGTTTCTTTAGGTTTAACGGCATGAATAAGTGTGTCATCGAGTAAAAAGTCCTCTTCTTTCATTTGTTTTGCTAAACGCATTTGTATTTTTTTAGCCTCCTCTTCCTCCTCCTTGGCCATCTCCTCTTGTTCCGCAGTATATGTGTCATAATCGGGATCCACAAAATCTGTATTGTAATAATTGCGGCTCTTATCGCCCCAGTTTGTGGTATCGGGTAAGTCATCATCAGTCTCGGCACCCTCTATATCGCTACCATGCATTAAAGCTCCCACATCATCCTCATCGTCGTCCTCATCGTCACTTTCATCGAACGCCATTAGGGCGTTTTCTTTGCTATCGTCCTTACGTCGGTGACCTTGTCGAACTTGGCGCAGCAATTCTTTATCATTTTCGCTGTACTCTGCTTCAGAATCCGTAGGTTCATAATCGTCGGCATCATCATATCTTGTTTGGTTTATATGAATTTTGTCACTCATTTCACCATAAGCTTAAAATAATTTTTAGCTAAATAACTTCAATTTTACTTATTACACGTGCGATTTGTGTCCAATCAAAAAAAAACAGCTGTTTAATGACATTCTTCTTTTTGGTTCGTGATATTCACAAAAACTAAATATATTAGAGTTGCCAATGTTATTAATTATTTTATGAAAACTTCTGTAAATATGAGATGCATCCTGCTAATTTACGTCACCCAAGTTGCACTTAGAGGTAAGAGTGGCGGCATTGTTGCGATCCTAACACTAACCTTATTCAGCTTTTGCCATCTCAGAAGCCCGTAAGGTTCCCGATTATGTGTAGCGTGGAGTTCCGGCGACGAGGTCGGAACAAAGAGAGAAAAATGTTGAGTGAATGCGTTTAAGGGGCCCACAAAGATGGTGAGTGTCATGTTTGGACTCTTTGTATGCAGGACATTCAATTTTGTATACCGCGGTCTATTTTGGATAAGTAGGAGTTTACCCTGCTACAGTATCTAGAACGAAGTTGCGCTAGGGTCGCTCTAGTTTTACGTGGCAACTCGAACTCACAAATCCCACAACAGCGGGTTCTATGTTACTCGAATTGACCAGGATTTTATCCGGTCAAGGACTGTTATTTTGAAGAGCTAACCCTGTTTGTATCGGTAAGTAACAAAACAAAAATATTGCTAAATTCTATGGTGGTGTTTACCCTATGGATCCTATTACATTGTCCTTGGCCGGATAAAAATTCGGGTCAGTTCCAATACCAATTAATTGTTAAACTGTTAATACGAAGAGACCGAAATCCTAATCATCGCCTTCTTCTGACTCAGACTCCTCCGCTTTGGCTTTTGCCTTTTTTTCGGCAGCTGTTACAGCGGCAGCACCTGCAGTTGGAGCAGAGGCAACAGACGCGACAGTTGTGGGAACGTATGCCAACCAAATCGATAATTCCAGTTATTCAGGAGTGAATTGAATGTCGAGAGAAAAAAGATTTCAACATGTTTACAAGTTGAAACTGATAACTTTTCACTGCGATAAACCTGGTAATTGAACAAAAGGAAGTGTCCATGAAGCAACAATTAAGAGCATCAGTTCTCCGTTTCCATAACAGTCGGATAATTTCTCCACGAAAGCAACAACAAATTGAGAAGTTGAGTTGGAATGAGACTTTACGATTCGTCTGGATTGCAACACAATTTTTAACGTGAAATATAGTAATGATACTGTTACATATTCTGAATTAGTATGTATGTATATTTATATATATGTAATGCCAAAACGTTCAAGCTCATCTGTCAAGTATATTCCCAGAACATCAGGGGTTACTTATCAGCGTTCCTAACATTATCGCCCCCTATAACTTTCAGTTCGTGAGGATCATTAAATTCATTGCTGCACTTCATAGATCATTTGTCAGTGTGCGAGCAGAACAACAATTGCAAAAACATTCCGATAGTTAACGTTATCACTTCTTTGTCGCGACCGAATTTAAATCTTGTCCCAAGACACACAGTTGTTTGATTATGTACAAGTATATGCGTACATTAGGGTGCGTATGTACATGCAGGGTACGTGTTGCACAGAGTATAATGTTTTAGTTTGCTTAACAGTTGTTTGTAACACTTATCTAATCGATGCTTAGTAAGTATTTGTACACCATGAATTCAGTAAAATTTTAAATATCTGGATCAAACTTCGTGTACTCCTGATGAGCTTCGTGTAGCATATGGGTGGAATATAATATCTGCCACTCCCATGAGCCTTTATTTGAAAAAGTAATTTAAAAAAGTACTCATTAGTTAGTCTAAGAAACTCAATGCATTACATGGTATCACAGTTCGGAAGTTACAAAAATTTTGAAAAGTTAAGTCCGGCGCTGTAAAAAGTTTATTGTACATATCTTTTTAGTCCTGTATTTTTTAAGGGGAACCTAGCATGAAATTTTGAAACAAAAACATTTTTTTTTGCATATTTCGATATTATTATTATTTGATCGATTTTTTCGATAATTTGTCTTCCAGAGCGTGGTGCGTCTTTGACATCGAAATAACCGGAACGGAATCAACGAAACCAAAATTTCACGTAATTGACTGTTACAATATCAGGACCATAAACGCCATTCACATTTTCAGCCGCCAGGCTTGCGTTTTCGCCTTCATCGAAGAAAAACTGTAAATATAGCTATTTTCTCCTTGCAAGTGTCCATATTTGACGCGCGCTGAAAAAAAACTGAATCAACCAATCACAAAACTGTCAGAAAAGCCTTTTTAGTACGAAATGTCATCTTTATAACGCCATCTAGCCGAACCCGATCGGAATTATACAACGCGAGATACAATAAAAATAATGAATTTCTTTACATATACCTTTTATACCTTTAAAAGTATCATACTAAAATTTCAAAAATTTTTTGAATTACAAGCTTCTCAAGTTCAGTTCAATCAGCTCAATTAGTTTATCTTAAGGGGTTAGGGGTAGTCAGAATTTTCATAAAATCAATTTTTGCATTTTCGTTAAGTGTAATATCTTCAGAATATTCTCTGAAAATTTCAAGTTGATCCGATAATTACTTTATGAGTTATTCGACAAATAACAAGGAGCGCTCAGGAGCTCTAGTGTGAAACTTTAAATGCGTTTTTCTCAAAACTATGTTTTATGAACTGGTGACAACTGTAACTCGAAAATCGCTTAGTAGATTTTAATGAAGTTTTTACAGGTTTTAGAATACATAATAAACTCCGGCCTGATTGAAGGATTTTTTTTTTCAAAAATTTAGATTTGTTAAGCCCAAAAATCTAGAAAATATTTCCTGAGGCCGCCATTTTGTTAATTTTTGAAAAAAAAGCTTCGATCAGGCCCAGGATTATCTATTTATAAAACTAATTTTTTCTATCCGATTGATTTTAGATGAATCTTCAAGGACTTATGGTTGTCACCGCAAGGACCCGTTTTTGGAACTGGGAACTGGTCAACACAGTGGAAATTAAAATTTTTAATTTTTTATTTTCGTGACTCCAAGTCAAAACATTGTATAATAATGCCATATTACTACTTTTGTAAAATAACATGATTGCTATTAAAGCAAAAAAAAAATACTGAAAGTTCTAATTTTTTCGTGCCTCTGTCTACCCCTAACCCCTTAAAACGCGTTTTTCTCGAAACAGTTTTTTTCGAATTTGCTACAGTGATTACTCGGATATAAATGATCCGATCGCTATCAAATTTTGTTGCATGTTCTGTATGTGGTGATGATCCAAAATCTAATTTTTGTAGGCAAAAACGACCAAAAATTTTGGGTAAAATTCTTGTTAACTTTTTTAAGGGGTTACATGGGTTTCGCCGAGTAAAAAATGGCGTATTTATAATCTTTTTTTTTTGATAAAATATTTTATTCAAACTTTTTATTATTCCAAAAGATATTTTATAAAGATTTTTTGCAATTTTCAAAGGAAAATATTCAAAACTCGGCTATTACGATGTCATTTCCGGCAGTCCCTTGGTAAAAGGTGTTTCAGCGTTGACAGCAGAGCTGCTTACAGGATCATCAAAAATAAAAATAAAAATATACGTGTTTAAGGCCATTAACTAGGTATTGGACGAAGGAAAAGCCAAAAAGTGAAAACAATGCAAATTAAATGTTGGCGAAAATTTCGCTGTTTTTTAAATACTTGTATGTAGTTGTAATTGAAAAAAAAAAATTCCTTCGTACAAGACCTTGTAAATTATATCTCGGAATCCTACATATATAAAATTTCTTTAAGATCGGTTGAGTATTACGCTAGAAATCTTGACAACCGACTTTGGAAACACAGTTTCGAGAAAAACGTGTTTAAAGTTCTAAGTGATTATATAGCTGACCTAGAGCGCGCAACTTTTCAAGGCTGTATCTTCAAAACTATTACTCGGATAAACTTGAGATTTAGGACAATATTCTAGAGATTCTATAGTACTAATTAAGAAATTTTTTAAATATTTTTTGTTAATTTTTTTTCGTTCCAAAATGTGAAATTTTTTTCTTTAAATAATTTACTTGTTATTAGTAAAAGATATATAAATACATACTTGAAATTAAAAACATATATATACAATTATATTTTTCATTTCCTGTTTTAAACTGTCACATTAGGTGTGCTCTTAAATAGCTTGGATTGATATTTGACTATCTAACTAAGGACAGAAAAACCGCTAAAATCAATGAATTTACATAATATCTGGCTATAGAAGGCGTTAAAACATTCTGAGAATGATTTGTAGGTGAGAAAATTATAATATCATAAAAGATAATATGACCATAGTTGTACTTCATTTCCAAATCAAAACAAAGTACTATTTGATTTACGATGATGGAAGTTCTATTTAAAAATATCCAAATTAACAAATAACACGTGCCATCTGCGCTCATTGAAATTTCATTTGATTTATGTATGTCGTTAGCCTCATAGCATGATTTTTGGAAATCGCTGGGGTCCAGATTAATAGTGGCATGGCTATTGGTTAAGTACAATATATAAATGAAATCAAATATATGGAATCTGTTTTTAAAGATCAAAGTTCATTGCAACTTTTTGTATTTTAATTAGAGGCTCCCGGTGAGAATTCAAAAACCTTATATTTCTTATGCTACTTAAGGCACACGACTGCCGATAACAATAATGACAATTGAATGTATTTTATGAAGCGTTCCGCTGAACTGGCCTTAAACAATTTTTGACAAAACTAATTGGCAAAAAATATTATCAGTCAAATTCGCTTCATTCTGGAAAATAACATGTAGATAAGGATTTTGAAAGTGAACGCTATAAGTATGTTATTTAGAATGAAATTATTAAAATTAAAATCAAAAATCTGCGCTACTACAAGAGAACATAAATATGTTTGTATAGATATGTATGCATGCAGTTATGCACAAGGACTATGTTAATCGATCGGAATATTCTTGCGGGTCAGGGTTTATTATAAAATTCTATATATTTTTTTCTAGCGTGTAATTGACTATTGGAAAAATTATGCTGGAGTTCTAGATTTATTGCTATATTTTTTGGAATTTTTTTCACCTATTAAATAAAATTAATTTTTATTTGAAAAAAATAAAAATAAATAAATTAAGACGCAATTTAATAAATAATAAAATCTGTTTACGCAGTAAACGGATGTTCTTCTAGATTAATATTGACCCATCGGAAATATTGCGAATACGTTTTTATATTAGTAATTACATATACACAATATTTACTGATAAACAATTATTTGTTAAATTATGCTATCGCATATATACATATATTGTATATATTTATGTATATACATATATATTATCATTTTTATACCAATTATCAAGAATATTAAAGATTGTAATAGTCCCAGGTAGCGTATAGAGATGGTGGTTGCCTTGAACTATTCGATTCGTGAAAATTAGAGAAATTAGTTTATTCACAGTAATGTATGTGTATATGTAGGTACATACAGGGTCAACCTTCTTTTATGTCTATATGTAAACATTGAATAACTGTATCGCCTTTTAAATTAGAAATATCATGTGATCAAAATTGACCCGGACTGGCAGCAAGAAACTTTTTTTTACGTATTTTAATACAAATCTTTATTATCGTCTTTAAAATAGGTTTCTTTTGAACCAATAGAAGCATGTCAACGCTTAATCCAATTTTCCATGCTCTTTTAATAAGCCTCGGCTATGATGGCCTTCAGTCTTTTCAGTGAATTTTGGTTTTTTCCGTTTTACTAGATTGTTGGACAGTTTCGACGTCATATTCATAAACCTACGTCTCGTCAGCAGTAATGATCCATCCAATGAATATACTACGTTGTTGAGCAACTCTTTTGCGACATCTATTGTACTCGACATCGTTTATGTAAAAGTTTCAGATCTTTTGTTACGAGTCTAACATTGACCTTAACTAAAATGTGTTGAGTCAATCCATAAGAGATGTTGAGATTCTCTGCTATCTCTCTGCCAACATGACGATTTTCGTAACTGTCAAAGTTATTCAATCCATAAACGATGACTCACCATTTATATTTTATATACATATTTTCTTTCTTTCTTTACATCTTTTAACCATAAATATGTTTACATTATATATGTACATAAAAATCTCTGGAATAAATTTTCAAAAACATACGCTGGGTGAAAGAATTTCGAGTATAATTTTACTGCAATGAGTTGTGATGCCTTGTGCATTGGGGCTCGTACAAACGCTGATCGTAGTCCAGCTGATAAACAAAATTTACCTTCAAAATAAGGCGTGTTATTGACAAATACAAACTTGTTAACGTGTACAAGGAGTAAACCTCTATCGCCATACATACTCGTATAAGTACATGTGTATATGTGAATATACTTGTATTATACTTATACTTATTATGAAATCAACAATTACGAGTACAGTCGATAATGTACTCAAATTTATAATTTAAAATTATAGTCTAAATAACCCAAAAGTCCGAGCATGCTACACTAAACTAAGGATTTATTATTAAAGTTTTTAAATTATAGCACGACAAGGAAATCCAGTCAGCAGAAACCTTAATTCCGATTGGACCAAGATAGAACAATGAAGAATATAGATTCGGAGAGGTTGGCGTCTAGAGTAGAAATTCGGAATCTTTTATGACTTAGATGAGATGATGACGTTGTTGCTTCTAATGAAATGATTTATAATAGTTAAAGAAATAAGATAGACTTGTTAAATACAAACTACTCTGAAGGCATAGAATAACACTCTCAACTGTTAAAAAATCGGTAAAAAATGCAATGAGCAAGCAAATAGCCCCGAACCGGTGTTGGAACGAGACGATATTGAATTCAAGATGAGACTCACTCAACAATTTATTGGAATCACCGCTTAAGGGGTTATAGCCACTTGTGAGAAAATCGACTCACGGTCTTCTTAGATATATACATATGTCAGGTAATGATATAAGGAATAAAATTAATAATAATTTTGATTTTTAAGCGACTTTGAAGTGTAAATTTTTCACAAAAAAAATGACTTCTTTTTTGGGAAACCCGCCATTTTGTCAGAAAACTAAATTTTAACTAATTGTTCGATTAATGCCTGTATTACCCGGTTGTTATAATTTATTTTTTGTTATTAAATTTGGGAGTTCCTAAGCAGAAAAATCGTTCTCACCGCAGATACCATTTTTCGGAGGTTCTCTTGGAGATCGGCAACAGGATCAAGTGAATTCGAAATTTTTTAAAATGGATCACCGATTATTAAAGTACATACATTAAATTCTGTAAATGCCCATATTTTTTATTTATTTCTAAAATAAAATGCCTCTTCAAAAGGAAACTTCACGAAGACAAAAAAATAGTCAAAAGGATAGTTGATCGCTTGAGATCCTTGCAGAACAGCAATATGTTTTTTTAGAAGATCAATAATGTTTTAAATAACAAAAAATCGCAGCACTGCATCTCTTCCTGTTACAGTCTAAAATTGTAGGTATTTATATATAATATAATGGATAATAATTTTAAGTGGTACGCATATTTTATAAACGGTTTATCATAGTCTGGCATCGCTCGGTTTGTTGTACATATTTAAAAACTAAAATCTAAAACCAAAAACACTATAACAGAAAACAACTTGGCAAAATCTTATTGGTGAAAACTGATGGGCTCGTCTACTGCAAATGCAAATATGTTGGTTTGCATGTATGTGTGTACATGTATATAAGAGTATTTAAGGCTTTTGATATGTGTACAGATGTGAAGAGGCGTGAATAATCAGCTGATTATCAGCGTCAATATACAATAATATTTACTTCACCATGGTCCAGTTGAGATGTTTTATTTATTGTTTACATTTATGCGTGAATATGTATGTATACGATCACATGCTGTATAAAAATCTTCGAGGAGGATTATCAACGCTTCATTCAGATTTTTGCACATGATCACATCACACGATTTTAAATATTATTCACAAATTGCAATTGCTATTAATTAATGAATAATGAAAGGGCTTGTCTGAGCACCGTTTTTTCAATATGTGCGAAACTTTTTAATATAATCGAAATGCATTCGTTTTTAATTAAAGTTTTTTAAAGTATAAAAACTACTCTGGGATTCTGTTTACCTAACCTAACAAGAAAGTAAGCAGACTAAAACTATTTTTTAAATCACATATTTTAGTTATATTATATTATATTTATTTTTATACCCTGAATCGGGTATATTAAGTTTTCCACGAAGTTTGTAACACACAGAAGGAAACGTCGGAGACTCCATAAAATATATACTACATATAAATGATCAGCAGGACGAGCTGAGTCGATTTAGCCATGTCTTCTGTATATCTGTGTACATACATATGTAAGTATATAATTGACTAACTTGAAAGAGGAATAACGACTAACCAATTAAATCAAGGGGCAAAGCCGAATATCCTTGACGTCCAGTACCACCAAATACTGAGAGTTCTGTATTATATGCTTCTAAATCCGGATGAAACAATTAATGGGGAACGCCACCGACAACAATGCATCAAATTGAAGCGAGGGATTGCCGAAAAAACGCCCTGAATTTCCGTCTAGGCATGAGACAATAATTTTCCATTATGACAACGCTTGGCCTCATGTTCCAATGAAGGTTAAGAACTATTTGGAAAACAGTGGCTATGAAGTTTTACTTCACCCGATTTGTAACCCAGATCTTGTCTCTTCTGAATACTATTTGTTCCGGTCGATGCAGAACGCCCTCACTGGAATACGGTTCAACTCACGACAGGATATCAAAAATTGATTTAAATAATTCTTGGCGTAGTTCTTTTGGAATGGAATCAACAAATTGCCCGAAAGATGAAAAAATGTTATATCTTCATATGGGCAATACTTTGAATGATAATATTGTACACATTTTTCTTAAATAAACGTTTAAATTTTGAGAGAAAACTACAAAAAAATCTTGTAACGAGTTCTTAAGCACTCCAAACATAAAAAGAAAAAAATATAGTAACTATAGTATTAACAGGCACTTGAGATATCGCTGTCTGTAGCCCAACCTATCTATCTGCTCTACCGTTAATCGACTAAAATTTGCAAAACATTGATGAAACATCACTGCGTCTATAAAACAGTTCCGAAAAATTGGTTTAATTTAGCAAAAAAAATGCAAAAAAATAATTTTAAAAACAAGGAAAGCCAAACTAAAGCAGAAAAAGAAAGAGAAGAAGTAAGCACAATAAACACATACACTTTATTGAATCAAATTGTAGCTACCATCTAGTTGATCTGTCTACTATAAGATGAGTAACAAAACTGTCTAAAGAGCACGTGTTGAATAGTATCTATCATGCAAAATTAACACCCACTTTGCAGTCGGTTGTATTTTCCTGTGGTCAAGGGTTTCTCTTGTGAAGACGTGACATTTTAATATGAACTCAAAATTTGCCTTTTCTCAAAATATTCCAATATCTGTACATGTACAAAACTAGGTGGGCGGATGGGTGTGTGCGTCAAGCAAATGGAAAATTTAAAAACAATAGAAATATACATTTGTACCAGAAATCTATATACATGTAGGAGAATATTTATTTGTCCCCACATCTGCTCGGCCATCCCACATTTTCGTTTTATTTCGCTGTGATCTTGTTGACTTATGTTTAAATATTATATACCTATATGTACATATATATATTTATAGCAATGTACTAGTGTGATATACATATAATATTTTGTATATAAAAGAGGACTATCAGCCAGGCACGTTCATATGTATATTATCAGTCCTATGCTTGATTTTAAGAAAATACATTTCTTTTACTACTTTTTTTTTTTTTTTGATTTTTTATGGCTTTTTGTTTCGTTCGAATTTTTTGAAATATAAAAAGCGCGTCGACATTTTAACACATCATTTGAAGAAGGAAAATATCTTGAAGAACACACAAGAACCGTTTAGTGATTCAAGAAAAGTGCATTTTTGATAGAATTTATAAAACAAAAGTTATTGAATACTTCAATATTTAATAAAGAAAGCAGAAAGGTTGTTAGTAAGATTACTTTTTAATTATATTCATTTTATGAAACTCTGTTGGTGCCGCCCTTTAGCAAGTAAGGTTATTGGAAAAGCAGATACCATAACTGAAGCGCTTTTGAGTTGAGTTGATAAAAAAGTATAAAAAAATACATTACACAAATCTACAAGTGCAGATAATAGCCATAGACGGTATACACAAATATTGGCATTGTTTATTGAAATAGCAATCTGAAATATTGCGTGGCAATAAGCAGAAATTACTCGCATGTGTGCATCCTGTCAACAGCCATAATTGATTTATTTGGTTTAATACGCGCAAGTGATCAACTCAGTTGACTTTCAAATACCGATAAGGCAAATAAAAACAAGTGAAATTACACAATTCTCTAATAGAGAGACATCCAATTACATATATATATATATATATATTGTTCCTGTGCAAATTTAAACGTAAGTACTTTTACGTGTTCCATTTATTTTACAAATGAGAGTACATACAGACATACGAACATAGCATACGAGTATGAAAATTCATTCAACACAGATTTTAGAAATCGTCTATTTTACTATGCAAAAATACCGCTTTTGTTTTTCGATTGTTATTATTTTTTTTTTACTAAAACAAATATCACAGGAATACGCATTAGTGTCACTAATACCTGTTCGCA